ATGGAGTGCTGAAAAGTTGAACCACTAAAGATATATAGCAATAGCACAAGTTGTTGGCGTGTTGTGTTGGTCCACCAATGCCCACTATCCTCCAAAGCGAATCGTAAAATTCCTTTGATTAAGCAGGCAAATATCTAAACTGTTAGTGAAGAAGGAAATGAGGGACAAATCCTAAACCAAATCTTACAAACCTTATTCTGTGAATAGATTGTGTCTTAAAAAGTGAGGGATAATGGAGTGACATGCCAGTCAACAATTTTGTCTGCTACAAGTGCACTTGGTGATCGTTACTGTAATAATCACGTTGCCAAAAGGGGTAACCCATTTTCAGCAAGTAATGACCTTTGGTCATTAAATAATAGTTTTTGATGTGAAGTAACAGATACATTAATAATTTTTTTACGAAATATGTAATTTAAAATTAAATTTAAAAATATTAAAAATCAAATTAATTTTTTTTTAAAATTTAGAGAACAATTCAAAGATTTGTATAATAATTAAGAAATCAAATTAAGACTTTAATTAACCTTTAATGATTTAAGTTTTCCTCGGACAGCTTCATTAATTTCATATTGTTATAAAATGTTATGATTGAGTTTTTTGATATTTTATTATTTAAAAAAATTATATTATTATTTAACAATTATTTTTTTAAAAAGTATTATATATTAAAATACTATTAAATTATATAAAATATTAATTTAATTTGATTATAATAATTTAATATTATATATATGAGTTAGTTATTCGGTATATTTAAATTTTTTATATTAACCTTAAATTAATGTTTTTAATTTAATAAATATCAATTTAATTAAAATTTTATTGATAAATAAAAAAAGAAGTGGGGTATTTTGAGAAATAAATTAATATTTTTATTCAGATATGTGAAAAACCCCTACGAGACGGGAACCCAAATGCAACTAATTAAGTGGATCCATCTTGTGCTCGGCGGTGCAATCCGGAACATTATCCCAGAGAGCCTGTGCCTGCGCTGGTCAAGTCAAGTTTGGCTTTGTCACACCACTTTATTTTGGGCACTTGAGGCAATAAGGTTGAGATTAAATTAAGAACATATAGAATGGATCAATGCCGCAAAGCAACATGAAAGTTGTGAAATCTAATATAGTTATAATGTTATATAAAAATATAAATTTATAATTATAATATATTATTAAATAAATATATATAATGTTATAAAAAAATTTCAATAAAAAAGACAATATTATCATATCACACTAAGATTTTATAAAGTTATAATATTATATAATATTATAATTATTTTATATAATTTTGAGTTTGTAATGAGAGCAGAGACGTGGTCGAATCATGTATTGACAGAAAAGGACACTCCATTATGCATTATGATTTGTTTGAGTATTTTGTTTTGGGTGTATTTAACAGAGAGTAAGGCACTAAAAAAAAGAGAGATGAGGCACTAAACTGAGTAGACGATTACAACATTGACCTCGGATGACACATCCTTTTTTGAGAAGAAAACAACTTTAGCTAACAAAACAAACAAAAATAGCTGTCATTATTAGGAACAGAACAACATCAGATTCATGAATCAAAAACAATTCAGCCAACTGGAATGATGAAGAGACTCCCATTCTAAATGCTCTTCAATTTTAGTAAGCAGAAAAAATGATACCATACCATGTACAGCCACAAACACACACTCAAGTTATTTATTTATTGTGGTCTTCAAAATCACTCTTTTTAACCATGTGAGTATGCGACAAATAGAGTTATGAAGGCGTGTCACTTACTTTGCTTAAAACTGAGAAAAAAAGATCTTTGGTATCCCTTACTACTTCCAAATATAAAACTCGATTGTGAGTTAATGAAAGAGTGCCAATTAAATAAATTATGAGATGTGCTTTGGTCAAACGATTATTATAGAAATATGGTGCATTTCTACATAAAGATTCATAAATAATTGTTTTGGAAAAATATCAAGGACTTTCAACAACTAGGACTAAAATGTTAATTTGTTGGTCAAAATAAAAAAGGGAAATATAAGTAAAGAGAAGAAAGAGAGTAGGAAAACTAGATTGCAAAGGGGAAGTTAATGCTGTTGTGAAAGCATATATGCATAAAGATTGATAGGCGTAAAGATTGAAATAAATGTTGAAACATAAAACTAAACTGAAAAGAAGATAGGAAGATGAATTTATAGTAAAGTGCAGGAAACTGAATTGCAAGAAATCAAATACATCAATGGAGAAGTTCAAAACAAAATAACAAAAACTAGAGTTAAAGCTAATGACAGTATAAAGCGAAAGACTAAAATAAGAAATGTTTGAGAAAATTAAATCTAAACTAAGACATTACTTATGAAAATTAAAATGTAGATAATGCTAAACTAGTTGTGTGAGAAGCAGGATCTGTTTGCTTGATTTCATCATTAAGTATTTGTTGCACTAAAGGTAGCATGCAAAGAATCTCTGGTAACATCTTGAAAATTAACAATAATATGAAATTTGCAACAAATTCATTAACTTGTTAGTAATGTTTGGAAGTATGCAACCACTGAACTGTTTTATTGATGATGTGGCAACCAACATTTATGTTGATTATAGAGAAAAATCAATCATTGAGTTTGACTCAATTTAATGCAATCACCACATGGCAATGGTTGGTAATGCATTTTGACTCCTTTAAATTCAAAACAAATAGAACACTTGACTCTTAATTAGTTTGCAAAAATGAGTGTAAACATTTATAGTACACTCTCTGTGTTCTATATTCAATTATTTTTATCCTGAACAGTCCACCCACCCATTTGAGAGTTTATGGTACCCTGTCCCAACCAGTTCAGAGAATTTATGGTACTTTCTGTTACCGAGATAGGTACACTTATGGGAGCAAACGAGATGAGACCACGGGCACATATGAGGAACCCAAAAGGACCGTCCAGTTCATGTGTTCCTACATACATGAGTTGATTCATTCACAACCCCATCACTCACCATATGAACTAATTCAACACCATTGTGGATAATGCCTCCTGGAGATAATTTTGTCTGTTAATTCTACCATATGATCTAAGAAGCTAGTTTTATGAGGATCAACGAGGCAGGGCCAGAAATTTTAGTTTTAACGAAAACATCTCCTTGGAATACAAATTAAACAACTCAAAATTTATAATATTGATGAAAAAGCTAAAACAGGCAAAAGATCTATTCATACTTGCCTTGTTCTACTAATTTAAAAACAAGAGATGGTTTGGATAAACACTACATATTGCATATTTGAGAAAAGCCCGCAAAGATTTTAAGCAACCGGAATCTCAATGTTGGTTGTCATCACGGGTGGAAGGTACTCTTCCTCCTCCTTGGGAGGATGGATTGTAACAAGATCAGGCAATGGGGTTGTTGGGCCCTGCTTGCCCTTTGGATCCCAATCAAGCATGATTCTAACCTTGATACCTAGCACACCCTGCGAATCAAATATATTAGGCCATAGAGATGAATAAGTAGGAAACTAAAAATGGTGAACCTAGCCAATATGAGAAGATGGTAGAAGGCAGCATAGACAATTAGAGCATTTTGCAAACTAACCTGCCTAAGAAGAACATGCCTAATAGCTGAGTCAATGTACTCTTTGCAAGGTTGACCAGAAGATATCATGTAACCATCCTTGAACTTCATTGATTTGGCACGCTGAGCACGGAGCTTCCCACTCACAATGACCTGTGTGCATGTTTGCAAAATGATTATCAAGAACATCTAAGAGAACAAGCAGTAACAGAAATAACGGGAGACATACCTCACATCCCTTTGCCCCACTCTCCATGATAAATCTTAGGACACCATAGCAAGCCCTACAAAAATGAAATTAAATTTCAATGCCTATGTAAAAGAAGGATAATTAAAAGCACCTTTGTCATTTATCGTAAATGAGAATAACATGTGCAAAAGTTTAGGATAAATTACAATCACATATTATAACATTTCCTGTCAGTATGTGGGAGGATATTCCAAACTCCAAGCACATTATGGACAGTACAAGAAGCCTGACAAACTCCAAAATTCATTTATGTGTGCATTGATGATATTAAACCCCAAGTCTCATTCAATAAGGAGATGGGATTATAGAAAAGTAATAAATCAATGCCTGTAATGACAAGGATTGATTAGAATAAACAAAACATTTAACACCTGATGCAAAAATGTTCATTTGTCTAGACCCCTGTCAGTATTCACAAGTTAACTTGGAAGAGAAACAAGGATGTGCAACAACATTCTAAACTCCCAAGATCTTAACAGTAGATCTAGATCAAGAGGCAATACTGAAGTCCCCATTACTTCATTTAAGCATTGCTAATTTGCAATAAACCCACAAAATTCACAGGTGAGGTGAAGATGGGAAAAAACACAACTAAATAGGGTATACACGTTTCACTTATTCGCTTTATCCAAAGATTGCCAAGAAGGATGCAAAAAATTAGAATCCAAGTATACTGCCCAGCTTTTTATAGCATCAACCAAACGGCACTTCGTATTCAGAGAAAAAAAGGTATAACAAATACATTAATGAGCAACATTGCAGCAGATCAAACTCATAGGCCAATAAAGACCAGGAACAATTCTCAGTTTCCTACAACAACCACTTGTAGAAGAGTATAGCTGACAAAATCAATGGTATTGCAGACAGATGGTACTCAAGTTTCCAGATAATTGTTCCCAAATTCCCACTGCATGAAGACTGACAAAATTAATAAAAGTATCCATCAAAATCTACCATCCAAAGTTTTTGTTGCAAGAAATATCATCATTATTCCTTGGTTTATGAACCTTTGGATGGAATCTATAATATAGTCATCCTCAGACACGAGACAGGTAATAATAGGCAGCCAACTCGCTGTAAAGATGACTTGAACTAGCAGTAACAACAATCAACGACCAGCTAAAGAAAGAACAAAGAAAATATATGCATAATAAGAAGTAAATTACACACTGAGAACCAGTTAAATATTGCATAACTTCAAGAGGATCTTGGTTGTGTACCTTCTGACAGCAAGTCCTCCAAGGAGCTTGTAGCGCAGGGATTCAGCCTGAGCAATGGCACAAAGACCCCTGTTGTTAACCTTCTCAGCATAGAGCTCTACACTGTCCTGTGGAAATTTGAATCGTTTCTGAACAACAGAAGTAAGCTCTCTAATCCTTCTACCTTTCTCACCTGATATTAAAAGGTTAAAAGCTAATGACATGAGTACCATATCAATTCTGAAGCTCGTTGATGAAAAACAAGAGAAAATAAAATGAGTGTATAACTGAAAATTGAATAGAAATGTGGTTGATTTATTTTTTTCCAAACACCTTAAAAATTGGGGAATTTACCGAGAACATTTTGGGTACGTGTGGCCCTAATGATGATCTCAGTACGCATGGGAGTAACCCTAACTTCAACCCCAGAGTATCCATCCTCAGCAAGTTCCCGGGTCAAAACCTCATTTAACTCTGCAAAGAAAACTCCATCGGCAACAAACTGCACAGGAAGATTAATTACGTAATCATCAAATGAAGCGAATTATATTGCATAAGAGACCGACATACTACTTCATTTGGTCCCAATTGCATATTTGATATCTATCAATTATCAAAAATGAAAAGAGATACACAGTATCTGTCAATACTCTATCAGTTCTCAATTTTCACAGCTAATATAAACTAGACCCAGCATTGAATGTTATTTTCCCTTCCACTTGTCCAAGTAAACCCATTACTGAATTATTCGTAAACATATCCAATTTCAATAAAATACTATGAAATATATCATCTTGCAAACCAAGACAACATTTTTAACATCCTATGAATCAAAATACTAAGAAAAATGGAATAACTATCTCTACTTAGTGCCCAGAAAATCGGAGGAAATAAAAGACATAAATTGATAAACGCTCACTGGATTTAATCCAAGTACTTAATGTTAAATTTAGTTTTCTTTCCAGCAGTTTTCTCGAGAACCAAGCAGAAAAAAGTGTGAGAGATGCAGTGAAAGGACTAACCTTGCGCTTCTTGCTAATCTGGGCAGCCATGTTTTTCACAGAATCGAATTAGATCAAGGTAAATCAGAATCCGACACTGAGCTGCTTCGCCGCTTATTTAGTCCGCTAAACAAAACCCTAGCCCTGTGAAATAAGGAGGGAATTTATAGCAGGAAACAAACCCTAATTTAGTCATTCAACTTTGTTCAAATTGTAAATTAAGCCCCAAAATCATTTTCGATGGATGAACCGTATTTTTTTTTTAATTCAAAATTATAAAAATTGGTAAAATTTTAGGTCATTGATACAAATAATTAAAAAAAAAAAGACCAAAGGGGCTATTTGCACCCTCCACTTAATTGTTTTTCACGGTCAACATCTTCTAAAATTTTTCCTCCCTATTCACACTCTCAATTTTTCAAAACTCGTGAAAAATCTAACATTTTAATGTACCATCACAGTATCGTTACAAAATGCACTACGTGGCACTATATGCCGTTAATAATCCAATGTGGATCTCTTTTTTAATGATGTGATTTATTTTACACACACATGGACGCCACATCATTAAAAATAAATTTGCATAACCATTTTGGGAATTTAGGGTTTATTTTCATCCCTTTCTTAATCTTCCTCGAGCTTTCCATCCATGGTTCTAATGGAGGTTGATTCAAATTGAATAAAAAAAAAGGAACAATCTTTTAATTCATTTGCAAGAAAAGTTGAGAACCAATCAAAGAATCAAATCGTCATCTTATTATTCTATCATAACTAGAAACAATCACAAAAAAGAAAGGCGAAAGAAAGGTACAAACTG